ATTCATACTTGTTGATAATTACATATCTGGCAAGGGACTTATCTCTAAGATTTATAGAAAACTCCAATGCCTCAACACCAAAGGAATTAACAATCCAATTGAAAAATGGGCAGAAGACATGAATAGACACTTCACCAAGGAGGGTATTCATGTGGCCAGCAAATACATGAAGAGATACTCACAATAACTGGCCATCAGAGAAATGAAAATTAAAATAACAATGAGATACCATCTCACCCCAGCACTGATGGCAAGGTTCAACGAGAGAGAAAATAACAAATGTTGGCGGGGATGTGGAGAGATTGGGATTCTCATACACTGCTGATGGAACTGTGAAGTAATACAAGCACTACGGAAAGCAGTATGGCGATTCCTTAGAAAGCTGGAATTGGAAATACCATTTGACCCAGCAATCCCATTACTCGGTATATATCCTAGAGATGTGAGAGTCAGGATAGGAACAAATATATGCACACCCATGATCATTGCAGCACTATTTACAATGACAGAAAGATGGAAACAACCTGTATAGCCATCAATGGACAGTGGATGACCAAAACTATGGTACATACACACAATGGAATGTTATGCAGCACTAAAGAATAATGTAGAGTCTGCCAAACACTGCATAACATGGATGAACTTGGAAGACATTATACTGAGTGAAATTAAGTCAATCACAGAATGACAAATATAGTATTAGTTCGTTGTTGTGAAGGGTCAAGGAAAGGTTTATATATGCAAGGAAACTTTCTTTGTTGGTTGCCAGGGGTGGGAGGGAACACTGCAAAAAAAAAAAAAAAATGCATTGACCCATGTCACTTTAGTTTTGTGTATTTCACTGTACATAGATTATATTTCAATAAAATGCATTGAAAAAAAGAATACTGAATGTCAACAATTAAGTGATAATGGGAGTATAGATTATTTTATTTTATTAAGGAAATATTTTATATAAAATATGATTTATTTTTGTTATAGGAACTCTTTTATGGGGGTCACTATGTTTTCTTCTAAATTTCCTACCTTAACCATCTTTTACTTTTATAATTAGGATAAATGCTTTAAAATCTTAAGGCTTCAACTGTCCTTGAAATGAAATTAATACAATTTGGTAGTACAGAGTATTAATCTGCCCCAATATGATACTTACGGTCTCAGAAAACTATAAGAAGACCTTGTCCATTCTTAATATATAGTATACCAAAAAAGCCCACTGCCATTGAGTCCATCCCAACTCATAGCAACCCACATTGGGTTTCTAAGACTGTAAATCTTTACAAAAGTAGATTTCCTCGTCTTCCTCTCACAGAGCAGCTGGTGGATTTGAACTGCTAACCTTGGGGTTAACAGCCAAATGCCTTGCCCCCTACTCCACCAGAGCTCTTTATAAACAGTATAGAAGTAAAACATATTTGTAGTATACTGATGGTAAATGACACTCTTCAGGCAATGGAAACAGAAAAAAAAAAAAGAGAGAGAGAGAGAGAGAAACAGATTGAGAAATACGAAAAAATTAAGAGGAAAATTATGTAATTACAGAAGTACACATAAAGAAGTACTTTAAACCAGTCCTTCTTACTATCTTATTCTAGCTATTGTTATAGCGTTTAATTGTAAGAGTTATTGTAGTTACTATAACTAATAATAATAATAAAAGCAACCAAATGAAGAAGGAAAAGGAGAGAAATAAGAGAGAGACCGACAAGTATTAGGGAAATATCGCTGAAAAATGTAAGAACCAAAAGAAAACCATTCAAGGAAAAAACGGTAAAGATAACCATGATGCTACTCCAAGAACTACATATAAGCTTCTTTCCCCAATATCAGTATACCAAGGGCTTCGTTAAAATTCAAATTCTCTCATTTAGTTTTAAAATCAGTTTTCAGACAAATCAGTTTCGTAAGTAATAATGAAAATCTGCTGCCCCCTGCTGGTCATTCAAATTCACCAGCGTCAAACTGTGGGTTAAAAATTCATTTTTAGAGAAAACAGTATTTCTAGCACAACTGAATAAATTTTTTCTTCTTCAAAAATATTTTTAACTCTACAATCTGACCCTTTTCAAACATAAGACACACAAACCTCCAAATTTCCAAATGTTCCTGAACAACTTAGGTGATTTAATTTATAAACCTCTCAGCGTTATTTTGAATTTAGGCCACCAATTCCTTTGTTTTGCAGTATGGTCAGAAACAAAAAAATAAATTTTTATCATAAAGAAACTAACTTCAGCATTCCAGTTACAATGAGACTTTTAATTAAAACCTAATCCAAACTGCCAACTTTCTAGTTAACACTTGAGCACTTAACCACTGCACCATCAGAACTCCCAAGGAAAACACTGAGTTGTAAAATAAGTCACATTTTTAACATCATAATTACAGAATGGAGGTGTCTTAAATATCCTTTTTCTGCCTGAATTACATATCAGAGTAAGTCACAAACTGATTCACTAAGTTTTATGCTTGTACTTTAATAATCACTCAAAACTCTTATTTAGAGCATAAGATCTATCATTTGAAAAAGTTTGCAGGATATTTTCTTGCCATCCAGAAGAGAATTAGAAACAAAAAAAAGAAGCTGGAACATATCTGTGATGTTACTTTTCTTCTTTTAAAAAAAAAAAAAAAATTATGCTGACCATGAAACTTCAAGATAGGCACTCTCACACTAGTGGGAGTGGTGATAAAAAAAAAAAAAAAAAAATTATGCTGACCATGAAACTTCAAGATAGGCACTCTCACACTAGTGGGAGTGGTGATTGGAACAAGCTTTCTGGAAACAGTATCATATTAAGCATAATGAGTCCATAAAAATGAGCACACCTATCACAGATTGGATTATGTCCCAAAAAATATGTGTCAACATGGCTGGGCAGGGACTCTCAGTGATTTGGCAGTTATGTAATGATGTAATCAACCCCATGACGAGATCAGTCATTCAGCTGTAAGGGGATAAGGATGGGATGCACCACCCTTACTAAGATCACAGCCCTGATGTGATGTACAGAGTTTCCCTAGAGTGTGGCCTGCATTGCCTTTTATCTTACAAGAGATGAAAGGAGAGGGAATCAGGCAGAAAAGGAGAGACCTCAAGTATCACTAAGAAAGAAGAGCCAGGAACAAAACACATCCTTTGGAAGCAAGATCTCTGCACTGAGAACTTCCTAGACCCAGGGGATAATTAATGCCAAGATACATGGAGATCTCCAAGGAACGCCAGGCCCACAGATTCAAAGGAGACCAGGACATGCCCCTAAAACTGATAGAAAGAGAAAGCCTTCCGTAGAGCTGGCGCCCTGATTTGCACTTCCAGCCTCCTAAACGGTGAGAAAATAAATTTCTGTTGGTAAAGCCACCTATTTGTGGTATTTGTTACAGCAGAACTAGATACCTAAAATAACACCCCTTCACTTTTGGGAAACTATCCTAAGACAAAAAACAAAATTCCAAAGATTTGTAACATAAAAAAGATAATCAAACAACCTAAAACATACAGCATTAGGAAAAATTAAATTTAGTATAGTCATATGATGGATTAGTCTGCAGTACCTTAATATTTTTAAAAGCATTTTTAATGATAGGAAATAATCAGTAATATGGTATATAAGACTTAAAAAAACTGAATATAAAAATTCAAAACCTGAATTTTTCAATTTCAAATTTCCAGAAACAATTCAATTCTCAAAACAAAATTGAATATAAAATAACATACAATATATAAATACATATGTAATACACACAGGGAAAGAATGGAAAGAAATAAACCAAAATCCCAAGGATTCCTCTCCAGAGGGAGGGAAGCATTAAAAGATTTTTACCTTTATACTTAACTTTTCCTAATTATCTACAGTGGGTACTTGAAAGCAGTCTTAGTAATTTACTGAAAAGAAACAATGATATTTCTGCTAAAAATAAAAATTGGCATGCTAATTTTTACTACAAATGAAAAAAAAAAGACAAGCACGTGCTTATTTTCAGAATATCATTTCATTTTCTTTCAAACACGTGTCTCTTACCACACACATGATGTACGACAGGATGGCACCAGAGGAGCCAATGAGGGCGCCCACAATGGTCAGCAGGTTGTTGTTGAGCAGGAAGCCCTCTGCACACAAGGCCCAACCCGAGTAGCTGTTCAGCACAGTGATGACCACAGGCATGTCTGCCCCCCCGATGGCAGCCGTCAAAGTCACACCCTATGACAAAACCAGAGCAGGACTCAACCTTGGTAGCATATAAATAAAACATCTGACATTTAATATCTCGGTCCTTACTCATTACAATTAATATACCAATATTTACATGTAAGTTCCACTTCTGGTAATGGCCAAGCACCTCCTACCTGACCAACCCTCTCACATATATAACAATTGTAAACACTGATCAAAACAAACAAACCAAAAATCTTAAATAAAAGCACCAACCAAAAGCAAGCACAAACTAGGGAGGGGTCTACCACCACCATCAGTTGAGGTCAAGTGGATCCTGACTCATACGGACACCCTAGGTTGCAGAGCAGAACTGTGCTCCATAAAGATTTCCTTGGAAAAAGAGTAACAGTGTTGAATGAATTTCTCAGGTTTTATGGCTTTTAGCCTGAGAGCAAACCCCTGCTGATGCCAAGTGAAGCAGTGCCAACCACGGTATATGCTCACAGTCTTACTGGCCTGAACATCCCAAGGACGGAGCTTGGGGGACTACAGCTGCTGAAGGAAGGAGGGAAACCCTGGAAAGGAGCAACCCAAAGACAGAAAGATCCAAATGCTGAGTATGAAATCTGCCGAAATCTCTGGCTGACTCCTGAACTATGCATACATGGAACTAACTCCAATCAATTCTGATAGGGTAAAGTAACAATGAATTTCACCTGTCCCCACCATAGAGGCGACAGAACTTCTAACTTGAGTCTAGCCAGCCCACAAAATCAAACAAACAAATAAAAATCAATAATCCTTGGAAGAATACAACAGAATCTCTAGTGTGTTATCATTCACAATGTCTAGCAACCTGTGATAGTTAAGGTTATGTGTCAACTTGGCTGGGCCCGGTTTGGAGTGGCTGAGCAGTTGGATGTAGTTATTCCCCACAATGAGACTGGTAATCGATTCCATGGTGGAATCTTCTGTGAGCATCTGAGCCTTAAGGATGTATGTGCCTAAGAAGACACTTTGAGAAAGGTCTCCAGCTGTTCAGCACATGTGGATCCTGCATTTGGCCGAGTCTTCCTCTCACTGGCCTGCCATGCTATCTGCTGATCTTGAGACTGTTTCTGGACTTGAACTAGTGGTCTGCTGTGTTGCTTGGGACTGTGCCATTATACTTGTTGTGGTAGTTAAGTTTGTGTGTCAACTTGGCTGGGCCTGGTTGACTACCTGGGCAGATGGATGTAGTATTTCCCACGATGAGATTGGTAATCAACTCCATGGTGGGATCTACCACAAGCAGCTGAGTAGCTGCCTT